CTGGTATGATTGCACCCTATGCTGTAAACCATATAGCATCTCAGTAGGTAAACTTAACTGCATGAGTTTACCATGAGTAGAATTTATTGGCGATTGATTTTTTTCCTTCAGCACATGTCCAGTTTTGTCCCACAATTTTTATTTGCAATTAGATATTTGCAGTCTAATAGAGAATATGAAATTTCAAAAAATCAAAGATATCAAGGACCAAGACGCAACGGATGCAGAAATCAACATTAATATACCTTGTTTATCTTGTCTCCCTTGGCAGGCATCTCTGAATAGAAGTAATCTAATTGTATCAGTAAATCCATTGTATGCAGCCCTAGTACGAAGCACCAGAGGATTAAATTTGAGTGATTCAAATGCTTGTCGAACATAATTTATTGCTTTTAAAGGAAAATTCTACTACCATGCTCTTCTTTTAAGAAGTTATAATCAATTTAAAATACTCCTATTCAAACTCATATCAATGCCCATTCCCCAAAACTTCAAGTCATGAAATCATCTAATCTGAAAAAACCATTAGAATTATTAAATCATTTATATGAGAGTTTCCAGTTTCAACTTCAATAAGGAAACACACCGCACATGAGGACAAAAAATTTAAATGGAGCCAATGACCCAAGTTTAGAAAAGGAAGAAGAAGAGGAAGAAACATACAAATGCCATGACGAACAATTGAATCACCATCGAACACTGTTGAACAATGGCTAAAAAGGCATTATGCATGAGAATCCAAGAAAAAGTGCCTTAATGTGCTGGAATTAACCAGTACTCAAGTGTCTTATGCTGCCACGGAAAAGCTAATCTACATTAATTCATCATGCTTTACCTTAAATTCCTGATTCTGCGTCTAAATCTGATTCCATGTCAATAGTTTAACCATGAAAACTAATGTGCTATGTCGCCAAATCAATCACATCTAATTTTAGAGAATGAGACACTGTGATCATTAACTAAACTACTAAAGTAGCTGAATATAGATATATGTCATTGTAACACTAAGCATGGAATTGGGTACATTGGAGAGAAGAGAACACTTTTACAAGTGTTTTCCCCCATTCAGTTTGAAATTATGTAGTCTTGCTCAAATTTTTCTCTTTTCTTGTGCCTGTTCCAGACAAAGGGTCAAAACATGAACATTTAATAATATGTCAACCCCATAGATTGAAAATAATGTCCTGAGAGTCCATTAATAAAGACCAATAACAATATTCCAAGCCCCAATTTTAAAATCATAAGCTCCATCCTCATAAACCTATAAGCAGAATGCACTCCAAGAAAAATGATAGGAGAAAGAAAAAGGGAATGGGAATGGGAAAAAAGTACATCATGATTTCAATATGAAATGTTCAACATTTGATTTGAAGTTCAGCATTTAATCACAAATCCCACAACAATGGTCCATCGTCTAGTAACACACTCTCACTTAAGCATCATGCATTTTTTCAAGATTGAAGTTGGACCAATAAGACAGCAAATTTATTAATAATATATCCAACAATCAAGTACTACTCATACTTTGCCAAAGTCTGACTTCATAGAGCTCCACAATAGCATTAAAACTACATGCAAGTCAAATTATAATGAAAAAAAAAATGAATATTGATGGAATATCTTTAAGAGACCAATGAAGAGGGCTCCTTCTGTCGTTATCTGGTACATCGAAATCAGCATGATACTTTGCAACAATGTGATTTAAGAATGCTGTCTGTCCATACTGGGCTGCAACATGAACCGCCTGCAGAAAATATCTGACATTCAAAGAGATGCACCCGTGGAAATTTAACTACTTCAAAACCACTGGATACACGAGAATGATCAGCACTCCCTACACCAAGCCACCAACTTCAGGCGGTGTGTGTGTGTGTGCATGTGAGAGAGAGAGAGAGAGAGAGAGAGAGAGAGAGAGAGAGAGAGAGAGAGAGAGATGCCTTATTCAAGGTAAAAAAACCCAAATTTTATTTGATTGGATTGCATTTAGTTATTTCAAATGTCTAATTGTTTTAGTGCTATGCAATAGACGGTTGCTTATTTATGTTGGAATAATTTGTTGAACTTGTAATTGAGATTTTCTTATCATATTCATTATTATTAGGGTTGTCATCCACTTTAGCTTACTGTTCATTTGGCGACCCAAGATCCAAGAGGCCAGGTAGTGAGATTTAGGTCACAGGTTTAGGGTCAAGATGTGTGAGGTGAGGTGAGGGTGTGAATCCCACGTACCTTATCCACATTTATTGGTGAAGTGTGTGATGCACTTTGTAATTATGAGTTTTGTACCTTTAGTGTATAACTCGTTTTAAAGCAGTGCAGACATGGTTTAAGTTTTGGATAACGTGTTTTAAAGTCACATCACATGGAACTAGTTCAAGGCGAACAGTATGGTACAATGCGAGATGGGAGATAACAATTGCTATTAGATCTAGCACCAAACGGAAATGAGGAACGGATCCCACACAAGGACGTGTGACCTAAGAGAATGTATTGTGGTAACACAAGAACCAAGAGGTCAAGACTCCTAATGCTTGGGAACAAGATGATTGAACCAGGGTGTCAAGTACAAGTGCCGTATCCCTCATTTTCGATGAAGCGTGTGTGCGACGTCTTATAAGTTTTGGACTTTCATTGCACACCGCATTCTAAAGTCATGTGAACTAGTCAATAATACACAATGCAAATTGGGTGTGTTACACATCTCCTACTCAACCCAACGAACAAATGAGATGATACAATACTGATCTTGAAATGGTTAAAATTGCTTTTCATAGAGCTAGTATAGCTAAAAANATGATACAATACTGATCTTGAAATGATTAAAATTGCTTTTCATAGAGCTAGTATAGCTAAAAAAAAAGTTCCTGGAGACGCCATTGTTTGGTCCCCATGTGGAAAATGCTTGCAAAGACTCGTACAATTCCTAAAAGTTCATTCATAGCTACAAGCCACTTAACCATGAAAAGCAGCAAAAAAATTCTTAAGGAACATTCGAGAACCCCAACAAAAATTCACAGCAGGATCGCTTCTAAAATCGAAACACAATTTCGAAAATTACCCGATAACCATTTATATCAACCGCCTCAACCCGTGCCCCATTCTGCAACAACACGTCTGCAGCCGCCATCGAACCCCGGACAGCCGCCCAATGCAGGGCAGTCTGCCCCGCATTATTAGTGGCATTCACTTCACCACCATGCTTCAACACCAACACAAGTTCAACTAAATTTTAACAACTCCAATTAAAATTGAGATAGAAATAATTAACCAAAAGTAATTAAGAATACCTCGATTATATATTGCACAATATCGGCAAAATTATTTAGAGCAGCCCATTGAAGCGCGTAATGGCCACTACCGTCCGGTTGAGATAGAGAAAGCCCGTCTTCTTCAACGAATTTTCGCAATTTCTCGAAATCTCCGTAAGCTGAAGCAGAGTAAACATCAATTATAGGTACCTCGCTAGGGTTTCGTCCTGAGTTCTTTTGATCATTAGAGTCTGATACGATTTCAATTTCTGACGAACTCATTGAGCTACCACTTGCGATGGATGTCTACGGAGAATTGGAGTTTCGAATTGGAACACACTCCAATTTTAAAATTGGGGTTTAGGGTCTACTTGAGTAGGTGGGGTTTAATTCAAACCAAAAGTTTTTATGATATAATGTGAAAATTTTATAATTGAAGGTATAAAGTGAAATAAATATAATAATTCAGGGGAAAAAGTGTAATTTACTCGAAATTTTAATCATGGTCGCTGATTCGTGTCTCACGGGTGACTAAAACAAAGAGTNTTGGAACACACTCCAATTTTAAAATTGGGGTTTAGGGTCTACTTGAGTAGGTGGGGTTTAATTCAAACCAAAAGTTTTTATGATATAATGTGAAAATTTTATAATTGAAGGTATAAAGTGAAATAAATATAATAATTCAGGGGAAAAAGTGTAATTTACTCGAAATTTTAATCATGGTCGCTGATTCATGTCTCACGGGTGACTAAAACAAAGAGTAGACCCCACCAATCAAATCCGACCATTTGGGTCTGTGGTCGAAGTTAACGCAGCAGTTAATACTTGTAGTATTCGCTCACTTCACTACTTGTTCCCCACCAAATCAGCGTCAATGGCGGCCACCAGAATCGTAGTGTCAGCAAGCACCACTGCCGCCACAACTTTGCTGTTCAAAGGGCCATTGCGAAGACCTCAAAGTTTGAGCTTTTTTTGCCCCAACAATCGATTAGTGCCCAAGAAAAGATTGTTCACTTGCAGTGCAATTTACAATCCCCAAGTTCAGATCAAAGAGGAAGGCCAACCCGAAACCCTAGATTACCGAGTCTTCTTCCTCGATGATTCTGGCAAAAAGGTCTCTTCTTTTTCCGGTGTTTTTATGTGTTTATGGTTTGATGTTAGTGTCTTGTTTGATTGATGTATGAAGTGAGAGAAAGTAAGGGAAAAGAAAAGAAAACTATGAAGCCATGAGTTTTTAATTTGATTGGTATCTTTATGGTGTTTGATAATCACAATATGGTCAACATGCTAACTTATAGTTCCCTGTTGTAGTTACGTGGATCAAACAGTGTAAATTTAATTAGTTTTAAGCTTTTGGGTTTAAGTTTTTGATAGAATCCAAGGATCCTGTGAGAAATTGATTCACTTCAAGGGGAATCGTCCTCCAACTTTTGTTAAAATTCTTTCTGCCAAAAACAATGTTCAGGAAGATATAAATAGAATAGACCTCCTAACTAGACTTCTACTACTAACTAGACTCTTTGCCAATTACAACTCTTGGCTCAATAAACTCCTAATCTGACCCAACTATTCATAATTTCTATCCATACAACTAATTTAGGATAGAAATTCCAAAACTAAATAAAGAATAAAAATCTGCAGTGCAGGTGGTAGCTCATACGAATGAGGTGCCTAATATCCACCCCTCCTTGAAATCCCCACTTGTCCTCAAGTTGGAAAAGCAGGAAAACGAGCGACAAAGTCTGAATAATCCTCCCAAGTTGCATCAGCAGCAAAAAATCCAGTCCACTGGACAAGAAGGTGTGTAACTGGCCTGTTGTTGCACTTAAACAACCCACGATCCAGAATNGAGAGAGAGAGAGAGAGAGAGATGCCTTATTCAAGGTAAAAAAACCCAAATTTTATTTGATTGGATTGCATTTAGTTATTTCAAATGTCTAATTGTTTTAGTGCTATGCAATAGACGGTTGCTTATTTATGTTGGAATAATTTGTTGAACTTGTAATTGAGATTTTCTTATCATATTCATTATTATTAGGGTTGTCATCCACTTTAGCTTACTGTTCATTTGGCGACCCAAGATCCAAGAGGCCAGGTAGTGAGATTTAGGTCACAGGTTTAGGGTCAAGATGTGTGAGGTGAGGTGAGGGTGTGAATCCCACGTACCTTATCCACATTTATTGGTGAAGTGTGTGATGCACTTTGTAATTATGAGTTTTGTACCTTTAGTGTATAACTCGTTTTAAAGCAGTGCAGACATGGTTTAAGTTTTGGATAACGTGTTTTAAAGTCACATCACATGGAACTAGTTCAAGGCGAACAGTATGGTACAATGCGAGATGGGAGATAACAATTGCTATTAGATCTAGCACCAAACGGAAATGAGGAACGGATCCCACACAAGGACGTGTGACCTAAGAGAATGTATTGTGGTAACACAAGAACCAAGAGGTCAAGACTCCTAATGCTTGGGAACAAGATGATTGAACCAGGGTGTCAAGTACAAGTGCCGTATCCCTCATTTTCGATGAAGCGTGTGTGCGACGTCTTATAAGTTTTGGACTTTCATTGCACACCGCATTCTAAAGTCATGTGAACTAGTCAATAATACACAATGCAAATTGGGTGTGTTACACATCTCCTACTCAACCCAACGAACAAATGAGATGATACAATACTGATCTTGAAATGATTAAAATTGCTTTTCATAGAGCTAGTATAGCTAAAAAAAAAGTTCCTGGAGACGCCATTGTTTGGTCCCCATGTGGAAAATGCTTGCAAAGACTCGTACAATTCCTAAAAGTTCATTCATAGCTACAAGCCACTTAACCATGAAAAGCAGCAAAAAAATTCTTAAGGAACATTCGAGAACCCCAACAAAAATTCACAGCAGGATCGCTTCTAAAATCGAAACACAATTTCGAAAATTACCCGATAACCATTTATATCAACCGCCTCAACCCGTGCCCCATTCTGCAACAACACGTCTGCAGCCGCCATCGAACCCCGGACAGCCGCCCAATGCAGGGCAGTCTGCCCCGCATTATTAGTGGCATTCACTTCACCACCATGCTTCAACACCAACACAAGTTCAACTAAATTTTAACAACTCCAATTAAAATTGAGATAGAAATAATTAACCAAAAGTAATTAAGAATACCTCGATTATATATTGCACAATATCGGCAAAATTATTTAGAGCAGCCCATTGAAGCGCGTAATGGCCACTACCGTCCGGTTGAGATAGAGAAAGCCCGTCTTCTTCAACGAATTTTCGCAATTTCTCGAAATCTCCGTAAGCTGAAGCAGAGTAAACATCGATTATAGGTACCTCGCTAGGGTTTCGTCCTGAGTTCTTTTGATCATTAGAGTCTGATACGATTTCAATTTCTGACGAACTCATTGAGCTACCACTTGCGATGGATGTCTACGGAGAATTGGAGTTTCGAATTGGAACACACTCCAATTTTAAAATTGGGGTTTAGGGTCTACTTGAGTAGGTGGGGTTTAATTCAAACCAAAAGTTTTTATGATATAATGTGAAAATTTTATAATTGAAGGTATAAAGTGAAATAAATATAATAATTCAGGGGAAAAAGTGTAATTTACTCGAAATTTTAATCATGGTCGCTGATTCATGTCTCACGGGTGACTAAAACAAAGAGTAGACCCCACCAATCAAATCCGACCATTTGGGTCTGTGGTCGAAGTTAACGCAGCAGTTAATACTTGTAGTATTCGCTCACTTCACTACTTGTTCCCCACCAAATCAGCGTCAATGGCGGCCACCAGAATCGTAGTGTCAGCAAGCACCACTGCCGCCACAACTTTGCTGTTCAAAGGGCCATTGCGAAGACCTCAAAGTTTGAGCTTTTTTTGCCCCAACAATCGATTAGTGCCCAAGAAAAGATTGTTCACTTGCAGTGCAATTTACAATCCCCAAGTTCAGATCAAAGAGGAAGGCCAACCCGAAACCCTAGATTACCGAGTCTTCTTCCTCGATGATTCTGGCAAAAAGGTCTCTTCTTTTTCCGGTGTTTTTATGTGTTTATGGTTTGATGTTAGTGTCTTGTTTGATTGATGTATGAAGTGAGAGAAAGTAAGGGAAAAGAAAAGAAAACTATGAAGCCATGAGTTTTTAATTTGATTGGTATCTTTATGGTGTTTGATAATCACAATATGGTCAACATGCTAACTTATAGTTCCCTGTTGTAGTTACGTGGATCAAACTGTGTAAATTTAATTAGTTTTAAGCTTTTGGGTTTAAGTTTTTGATAGAATCCAAGGATCCTGTGAGAAATTGATTCACTTCAAGGGGAATCGTCCTCCAACTTTTATTAAAATTCTTTCTGCCAAAAACAATGTTCAGGAAGATATAAATAGAATAGACCTCCTAACTAGACTTCTACTACTAACTAGACTCTTTGCCAATTACAACTCTTGGCTCAATAAACTCCTAATCTGACCCAACTATTCATAATTTCTATCCATACAACTAATTTAGGATAGAAATTCCAAAACTAAATAAAGAATAAAAATCTGCAGTGCAGGTGGTAGCTCATACGAATGAGGTGCCTAATATCCACCCCTCCTTGAAATCCCCACTTGTCCTCAAGTTGGAAAAGCTGGAAAACGAGCGACAAAGTCTGAATAATCCTCCCAAGTTGCATCAGCAGCAAAAAATCCAGTCCACTGGACAAGAAGGTGTGTAACTGGCCTGTTGTTGCACTTAAACAACCCACGATCCAGAATGCGAAGTGGCTGCCACATAGTAACACAGCTATCACAAATGGGAGGGAGCTGTGGAGCAGGTTGCACCATTTCTCCAAGTTTCTTTTTGAGGCAAAAATCGTGAAAGACTGGATGGATACGACATTTCATATGCAAATCCAGTTTGTAAGCGACTTCTCCAATGCGTGAAAGAACATGAAAAGGTCCATAAAATTGTGGTGAGAGCTTATGTGGCCCGCGGGGGCCCAAGGAAATTTGTCGATATGGCTGAAGTCAGAGAAAAACCCAATCTCCCACACTAAAAGAGCGTTCAGTTCGATGACGGTGAGCAAAATATTTCATGCGAGACTGGGTAGCAGTTGAATTTTCTTTTAGTAGTCACAATATACTATCACGATCACGCAAGGCAACGTCTACAGCATGAACAACAATTGTACAGGGAAGGTATGAAGCAATGGGCAATGGAGGCCGACCATAAACTACTTGAAAAGGCGTCATTTTCAATGAAGATTGAAAAGAAGTGTTATACCACCATTCAACCCATGGTGGCCACTTTGTCCAGTTGGAAGGTTATTGGCTTGCAAAGCAACGCAAATAAGCCTCAAGGGATCAGTTAACCACTTCAGTTTGCCCGTCGGATTGGGGATGGTAAGCTGAACTTCGACAAAGACTAGTGCCCTGCAATTCAAAAACTACTTCCCAAAACTAACTCGTGAAAACAGGGTCTTGATCACTAACAATAGATTTAGGCATCCCATGTAAACGTGCAATTTCCCAAACAAAAATTTCAGCCACCGTAGTTGTTGTATAAGGATGCACAAGTGCATAGAAGTGGGCATATTTGGATAGTCGATCAACTACAACCATAATAGAAGTTTTGTGAAATGAAGGAGGTAACCCATCAATGAAATCCATTGAAATATCAGTCCACACTTTCTCCAGAATTGGTAGAGGTTGTAGCAGCCCAGGGGGAGAAATACTTTCAGATTTATTCCGTTGGCAAACATCGCACTCGACAACAAACTTCTTAGCAGCCCTTTTGAGACCCTTCCAATAAAAATTGCGTTGGATGCGCTTATAAGTCCGTAAGAACCCGGAATAACCACCAATTTGGGAAGCATGGAATTCCGACAGAATTTTGGAACACCAAGGAGAAGAAGAGGGAACCACCACTCGGTCTTTATAACGTAAAACACCATCACAAAGAGAATAGCCTGAATTTGTAGACACACCTTGTCGTAATCGAGTAAGAATGGGGGACAAGGAAAGATCCGTCAATCATTCAGCAGTGATCTCAGTAATGGCCAAAAATATAGGGAAAGAAATTGTAACGCCCCAAAAACCCCCTTGGGTGACATTACATTCTAAAAATCATTCACCCCATGAGAGCATTACGTAAATTCATCACGACGAAAGTTCATTCATCAACCATTCATATTTTAACAAAATTTGGGCAGAGTCTCCTTTGTACGGGGAGCTTTACCCAAAACACAACCTGTACAATTATATTACAATTGACCACACCGGGTCCACATATGCATAACTATTGACCACACCGGGTCTATTTATCCATCATAAAATAAACTTTCATTCATCATATGTCATATCCACA